AGACACAGAATGGCAGAAAGTGTCTTCAGGGTGTACCGGAAGAAAATAACTGCCAAAAAGTATTTTTTAGTTTGGAAACAACTAACAAAAATGTCATCTCCAGAATTCTTCTTTATTTTAATTCAAAATTAGTTTCTTCTTCCTCCTCCTCTTCTTCCCCTCCTCCTCCTCCCCTCCCTGCTTCTTTTTGTTTTGTTTTGAAGATAGGGCCTTACTAAGTAGTTCAGGCTGGCCTTGAGCTTGTATGATCCTCCTGCCTCAGCCTCTCAAGTGCAGGAATTATAGGGATGCACCACCACACCTGGCTATCTCCAGACTTCTGGTAATAGAACACTAAGAGTTTGTTGCCAGTGCATGGACAGTACAACAACACTGAGGGAAGTTTTTCAGGCTGATAGAGAAAAAATGCAGCAGAGATGCAGGTCTTCAGGATCAAATGAAGAACCTCAGAAATGGGATGTAATGTGGGAGAAAATTTTAAAAGTATTAAGAGTGAAAAGAGACTCTTGAGTAGTGGTACCATTTATAAGCTGACAAATTTGTTACTCCCTATAATTAAGAGAATATGCATTCTTTGCAACCTCAGGTAGGATACATGCAAAAAATTATATGCTAGACAAAATAGCCTCAACAAACTTTAAAAATTGGGATTCCATTTGATACATTTTCTGATCATAGTACATTTAAATTTTTTAAAAAATGAGTAACAAGGTCTGAGGATATGGCTCAGTGATAGAGCAGTTGCTTAACACGTGTCAGTGTCCAGTACCCCCACCCCCACAAAGTGACAAAAAAATCAGTAGAGAACCTCCATAACCTGTGTATAGTGGCACATGCCTGTAATCCCAGCACTGGTGGGTTGAGGAAGGAGAATTACAAGTTTGAGCCTGTATCAACTTAATGAGAACTTGTATGAGAATAACAAAAATTAAAAAGGAGGCGGGGTTACAAAGAGAGACCCTGTCTCAAAAACAAAAGCAGGTGGGATTGTAGCTCAGTGTGGAGATCCCTGGCCCAATATGCTCAGAATTTTAAAAACAATTCTAGCCAGACATGGTGGCACACACCTGTAATCACAGCACTTGGAAGGCTGAGGTAGGAGAATCACCTTGAGTTCTAGGCCAGCCTGAACTATAGTGAGATCCTGCCCACCCATCTAAATTTCCAAGTAGAAGAAGAAACTATAATGAAATGCAGAATATTTGGAGCCAAATAAGATATATTCATTATAGAATTTATAGAACAATTTAAGGAGTAATAAGAGAAAAATCTATAGCTTTATTAAGTGCTCACAATAAAATGAAGAAAGTCACAGAATTAATGATAATAGAATAGTATTATATCCCAATAAAATAGAAAAAATTTGTAAGGATACACACAATGTCCATGAAGAATGAAGCTAATAATTGAAAAGAGTAATAAAATAGCCCAATCTCTGGTAGGTTTAATTTTTTAAAAATAAGACAGGTATAGCATTACAGAATGAAACACATAACTGAAAGCAGTGTTAAGATTTAACACACAGAAGCTTTTTGATCAGCTCTGTACTTACAAATCCAAAAATTTAGGTTAAACATATAAAAGAAAACTCAGCAAAGCTGACTGAAGAACAATAGGAAATTTATAAATAGAGACAGTTTTATCGTCATGAAAGAAAGTAAATCAGTACTTCAACTGTGTTCCTTCCCCAAATCTACCCAGAGAGTGTTACGGGAAATTCTAACAACACTCAAGACACAGTCCCACTTTTATACAAGATTCTTCAGAGAACAGGAAACTTCTTCCTACCCATTTTATGAATTGGGCATAACCTTCACTTGGCAGCAGAACCAGACAAGGATAATATAGCATGAAAACAGACATTTCAGGCTACTTTCATTTATGAATATTAATATAGAAATTCTGGTGAAAGAACTGCAAAATCAGGAAAATAAAAAAGTACATCATGGAAAAGTTGGTAAAAACCGAGTCATTAGAAAATGTATTAATGGAGGCCAGGGATTTAGCTCAGCGGTTCGGTGGCCTGCCTTGCAAGCGCAAGGACCCGAGTTTGATCCCCGGTACCAAAAAAAAATGTATTAATGTACCAATTAACAGATGAAAAAAGAAAAAGCATATTAATAGAGGTACAAACAGTTTAATAGCATTCATCAGCTATTCATTGCAAAATTCTTATCAAAGTTGGAATAATAGGAAATTTATATAACTGATAAAGGACTTCCTATGTTTTTTCTTGTTTTGTTTTGTTGAGGCAGGCTCTCACTATGTAGTTCAGACTGGCCTTGAAATAACTCTTGTATCCTAGGCTGGCCTTGAAATCACAGCAATCCTCTTACTTCTCTCTGCCTCCTGAGTGCTTGAGATTACAGGTCTGCACCACCAGTCTGGCTGATAGAGCATCTTAAAGGAGAAAAATCCCATAGCTAATATACTTAATGCTAAAAGGTTGAAAATCGATCATGTAAGATAGCAGCAAGACAAAGGTAGCAACCTCCATCCTCTTACTTTATTTTGTGAATCGTGTTCCTCAGTAGAATAAGGAAGAATTCAAAGTACTAGGAAGAAGATATTAAACAGTCATTATTGGAAGGTGACTTAAAAATTTGTATAGATAAATTATTAGGATTAAGAGTTATTAGAATTACTACCAGAATCAATAGATAGAATGACTTCCGATTGTTAATATTATTTAGCAACATTGCTGGATATGAGGATACCATACCATAAAAAGATGCCAGTTCCTAGGACTGGTAGCAGGTTCCTAGTAATAAATCCTACATAAGTTATATAAACCTCTTATGGAGATAAAGGATAAAATAAAGATTATATGCCAGTGAAAGGTAATATATACTAGGTACAGAGCTCTCCTATGATTTTACCTTGGAAACAGTGTATTATGATACCATTTTTTCCTCAGAGTGATCTGGGATTTAATGCAAGTCTGGTAAAAGTCTTGACCAAGTTTGTTTTGTTTTGTTTTTAGGGGTGGGTGATGGTTTGAGGCAAGGACTTGCTATTAGAAAAGGCTAGAACTCACTATGAAGTCCAGGGTGGCCTCAAACTTGAGATAATCTTCCTGCCTCAGCTTCCTGCATGCTGGGATTATAGATGTGCACCACCATACCTGGCTGGTTTTTCTTTTTTCCCTCTCTTTAAATTTAAATTTTTAATTTGACAAGGTGATTTTAAGATCAGTATGAAAGAGCAGAGGGCCAAGAACAGCCAAGACACAGGTTGGAATTTTCTGTACCAGAGATCAAGAATCATAATGTGTATGAGATATTAAGAACATGTTGGGATGGAAATCGATAAATGGTGCAACAAAATAGGGAGACGAGTGATAAGCACCTGTCAACCCAGCAGGCACTGCCCACAGCTCAGCAGGGAACAAATGAATGGATGAGTCAGTATGAAGATAACCCCGAAGAGAAGCGGATGAAAGACTTGAACAGGCACCTTGGGAGGGGGGCTTTGTGACTAGCCTGTAAGTGTGAACGGATGCAGAATTTATTAAAGAAACAAAGAAACTCAGGCCAACTCAGGGTAAAGTAGTTTCACACCCCCTGGACTGGCACAAATGAAAGAGATAATCCTGTGTACTGAGAAGCAACATCTGGGGCCACAGGACTCTAGCATCCACTGCTGGAAGGGGATCAGCTGGTACAATAATTACAGAAGTGGTTTCAGCGTCACTTGTTGAATGTGAAGGTACTTGTCACCCAGACGTTGTGTATACATGTATACAAGGGGATGTGAACAAGAATAGGCAGCGGAGCAAAGCCAAAGAAAAATAAAACCAGTACCCAACAGGGTAATCGGATGTGACTTTTTTCATAGAATGAAATACTATGCAGCAATAAACAAATTTCAGCTATACTGTAACCCAGATGAATCTCCCAAATAAAATGTGGAATGAACAAAGTCAGAAAAGAATACATACAGTGCATTTCTATTTATAAAGTTCAGGAAATAGGACTAGCTAACCAATATATTGTTTAAAGGTATGCAGAATATGATAAACAAGAAGGAAAAGCAAGAGAATGGCTGATACAGGGTTTGTATGGGTGAGGTGGGAGAGAGAGGGGTCATTGGGAGGTGTGCTATGGTCCCTGAAAGACAGTAGTATTTAAATGTGGCATGTCACACATGACTGGAAGATGTACATGTTCAGACTGACACTTTACTTTATAGAAGCATGCAGATTTTCTCAATTCAAAAAAAAGGGTAATTGTGAGCCAGGTGTAATGACACATGCCTGTAATTCCAGCACTCAGGAGGCTGAGGCAGGATGGTTGCAGTGAATTCAAGGCCGGCCTGGAGCTGTATAGTGAGGTTAAGTTTGAGTTACATAGATCCTTTCTCATCACCCCCTCAAAAAAGGGGTTGTGACCCATTGAGTTGAATTTACCATTCAGTTTGAAGTTGACTTTTTTTTTTTTTTTTTTTTGCTTAAACTGATGGTAAGTACATAGCTGTTTATTTTGTTATTTCTCTTTATTCAATACTTAACTCATTTCTCTTTATTCAATACTTAACTCATTTCTCCTTTCAGAAAGCAGAAACCACTCAAAGCAGGTGGGAAAAAGTGCCTCCAGGGCCTCTAGAGAGCCAGGGTAGAGTGGGTAAACTGCCAGGCTTCTTTTAGAGGGGGGATAGGCTTATCCCATAGTCTGTTGAAATGCGGCTGGCCTAGGACGCCCTTGTAAGCCTACTGTATGGAAGGGAGCATGGAGAGGTCTCAGCTGTGACCTCTCTGGTCTTCCTGGAGTGGTTGTTCCCTCTCATGGCCTGGCATCTCCCTTCCCAGAAGGTGGGCTGCTTGAACTACAGCTACAGCTCTGCCCAGCCTTGCTGGTGGGGCCAACAGTACCCATTGGGTGATTGCCTCACCTGACAGAGGGCAGGGACTCCAGCGTGGGCCACGGTATCTTTCCCCTTTTATTCCAGCTGCTCAGAATTTTCTGAAAGCATCTCTAAATTCTTACCTCACCTTTGTACAGGTGTCAAGCCAGCAGCCTCTGTGGACCCGTGGGGAGTGCCCACCACTGCCAGCACACACTCTATTCCCCAGACCTCTGATCCCTGGGCAGCTTCACAGCCACCTCCCCCCAGTTCCGGAAAAACAATGGATGCCTGGGGTGCAACGTCGGCTGCCAAGCCTATATCCACCTCGGGTGAGAGCCCATCTTGTCCAGGCCCTGAGAGCCTCCAGCCCAGTAGCTCCACTGTTCTTTGGTTTGCTGCATTTGCTCCTCTGCCCCTCCTTAGCTTTTGGTCCTCATCCCTAGATCTCAAGCACCCTAGAGTGAGTAGGAGTTCACAAAACCATCTGTGCACCACCATCTCCCTCTGAGGGCCTCCCCTAGAGGGTGTTGGGAGAGGTGCTAAGTAGGGACCCCAGCCACGGTTCTGTCCTTACTCCAGACCAGTGGGTTGACTTTGACCACTGTTCCAGGCCATTTCTGTAGACCCTCACCTCAGAAATGTGCACTGTCACTAGCCCCTTCCTATGGAGGCTGGTGGTCCCGTTCCTGCACTGGGAGGCCAGGGTCCCTGCTTTTGCTGTCCTCTCCTTAGCCTACCAGTGAGTTCTGCCCCAGGAAGTGGAGTAAGCAGGAGAGGCCTCTCCTGCCCTAGTGTAGACTTGAGCAACTGGAGTTCTGTGGAGTCAGATGAGATGCCATCAGTCACTAGCTTCTGTGTAACCCCGCAGGGTCCTTTGAGGTCTTCAATAATTTCAATGGTACAGTTAAAGATGACTTTTCTGAATTTGACAACCTCCGAACTTCAAAAAAAACAGGTAGGTAAAGTTGCTTTCCATAATATTCTGTACATTTGGCCAGCTCAGTTATTTCAGAAATAATACCAGCTTTCAGATCTCACCAACTTCATACATTTTGATCTTGGTAGCCTAAAGCTTTTTAATTCTGGGAATTCACACATTGACAGTGAAAAGTCATGAGGTTAAGTTTTTCTTTTAACCTTTTCTTATGTTGAGCCCTGTGTTTTGTATCTGGTACCCTCTCCCTTGGGCCATGTCTCTAGCTCAGCCAGAGCCACTCTGCCTGCAGATGCCCCACCTCTCTCTTACTCTGTGCAATGTGGGCCCACACCAGGTCTAAGCCATCCTCTCCAGTCACCTTCCCATTAACTACCCACTCCCCAAAATGCCTCCTTTTCCAAGATAGCCTCCCTTTGGGCATAGATGAAGCCAGTCTCTGCCCACTCCATCCCCCAGCCCCAGGTGACAGCTGATGCCTAGGAGACTTCAGTCCTGGTTAGACACAGTGTCCTTTCTTCCTCACCTCCTAATCACACACAGCTTCCCCCTTTTCCTCCCTCTGCTGTCTGTGCTTCTCTCCTCATTTTCCTATTCCTCCTCCCCTGCCCCTGTTCTTTCTATTCTCCACTGTCCCCCAACAGCCTGCTGGGCCTGGTCTAAGGTAATTGCCTGGAAGCTCTGGCCTCCACCTCCATCCCCTCTTCACTCAAGGACTCCCAGTAAGGAGACTTGAGGCAGCTTTGGGAACCTGGTGATTTGAAAAGTGTGCTTTTATTAAATTAAAAACAAGCTTCCACAAGTCTCTGTGGGCCATAGTACAACCGAACCTGTCATTGCCTTCAACTCCTTTATGCCTCAGAAGGCAGCCTGGTCCTGGTTCAACGTTAAATTTTAGGTATTTATTTGCACTTGTAGAAGGATTCCTATTGTAGAAAATGGGAAGCATTTATGGAAGCAAATGAAAATCATCTGTAATCCTACTTATACTCAGCCTCTATATTTCTTTTCAGTATCTTTTCTAAACTCTTTGTTTGTTTGGGTTTTTTTGTTTGAAACAAGTTTGTGTAGTCCAGGTCAGCCTTGAATTCATGGTTTTCTTTCCTCAGCCACCTGAGTGCTGGGATTACAGGCCTATGCTCTTGTTTAACTCATAATATCAGATAAAGTCAAGTCCTGACCCATCCTAATTTTTTGTTTTGGTTTTGGTACTGGAGATCAAACTACACTTCAAGACAGGAGGTAGAACCACTGAGCTACGTCCCTGGCCCCCATTCTAATTTTTATGGAATAAAAATTTGAAACATTTTCAGACTTTAGAAATCCACGATTGCTCAGCAATAGTGATCGTTTTGTTAGCACATGTAGATTGCTCACCAATAATTTACAGTGGTACCTTGGTTCACAAACTCTGTTCTTTCCACATTCTGGTTGTGAACCAAATTGCGTGAGAACCAAATCAAATTTCTCCATAAGATCAACATTGAACCTAACCTTTGGATTTGATTCAGTTCTTGTCCAATTTGGTTTGTGACCAGAATCATGGAAAGAATTAAGTTCATGAACCAAGACACACTGGTATTTAATCAATTTTGGGGGAGACATTGTAGGTTCATTTCCTGTTTTACTAAAGTAAATGCAGTGGTAAACATTTTTGTGCTTAAACCTGGTTCACATTTTGCATTATTTCCTTAGATGGGGTTCATAGAAGTGGCATTACGTAGTGAAAGTGTGATTGTGAAGAACCCTGAGCCTGTGGCCACAGTGTATCCCAGGAAAACAAATGTGCCCTCCAGCCCAGCTCAGCACACCTCTGTTGACTATTTTAGAACATCATTTTCATTCTTACTATCAAGAAATTCGTGTTCACTATAGAAAATGAAAATATAAAATGATACAAAAAATGTAAATTATCCATGCCTTACCGACAACCCAAAATAACATTAATATTTTTGAAGGGTTTTGCTCTCCATATTATTTTGAATTTTGTCTTTTCTACTTATTAGTTTGATATAGTTTTCTTTGCTCATCAACTGTTCAGATGTCCCTGCATTTTGGTGTTATGTGGGTACATGTCTTTTTAACCTGCCCACTGGGTGGCTATGTGTCTATGTGGGACTGTTGGATAGAACACTGGAGGGGACATCGTGTCCTATACACAGTATGTGTGTGCCGGGAGCCTTGGCATCAGGAATGTCTACATTCTGCTTTGTGCTCATGGGGTTGGCAGCTTTAGGTGTATGGTCTCAGGCCCTTACCTCTGCTCACCATGCCATGTGTATCTTTGTTTTACAGCTGAGTCTGTGACCTCTCTACCATCCCAGAAAAGTGGAACTACAAGCCCTGACCCCTTTGAGTCTCAGCCCCTGACTATTGACTCAAGCAAACCCAGCAGTGCCCGGAAAACACCAGAATCCTTCCTGGGCCCCAATGCTGCTTTGGTGAATTTGGACTCACTGGTGACCAGGCCTGCTCCACCATCCCAGTCCCTTAACCCCTTCCTAGCACCAGGTAGGAAAGTGCCCACTCCTCATCTGGCTGCTTGCTGTGCTCTCCCTCATACTGGGTGTGTGATGGCCCTGGATCTGACTCTGACTCTCTTGTACTTTAGGGGGTCTCTTATTACCATGGTCTCCCTGAGGCCCAAGCTACAGGGTCTGGAAAGGAGCAGATTCATTTGGAACTCAGGATTATACAGCCATCTCTCTCCAGGGCCACATGGGGTGGGTTATAGAAGCTGCTGTTTAAAAGGGGAGGACATGAGAAAGTTTCCCCTCTCAGTTGAGAGCAGCAAGTAGAAAGAAGCTGCCTAACTGGGTATTCCTGTCAGGGAGACCCTGGAGTGAATGCTGATTCTGGGTCAGGTGGAGGCAGGCAGAGTAGTGCTGTGGTGAGAAAGAGCCATGGTTTGCTGCCCAGCATCTGCCCTCTGTGGGCAGCAATTAATATGATCCTTTGGCATAAGCCATTCTCTGGGGACCTAAGGACCCCTCCATAGTACTTAACGCAGAGTTCTGATCTATGCCCTTCAGGGGCTCCATGTTGGCTATGGGACAGGCCCTCAGCTGCTTGGTTCAGTATCTAGGGTCACTATTTTGGCTCTGGCATCCGTAACCCAGCCCTTTCATCTTCCCTCCCCATGTACATTATGCCTCAGCTGCACTGAACTCTATTATGTCCCTCAAACATGAGAGAACCCCACTTTACCTCTAAAGCATGCCTAGAATATCCTCCCTCCTCTTTTCCTCCCCAACAACCAGCCTAGATGACCTCTTCCTCTGAGAAGCCTTTCCTCCTGCACAGATTCCTCCAAGGGTTCCCCCAATGCCTTGCAGGAATGTGTGTGAGCCTCTGATCAGGCCCCAGGATACAGAAGATCAGAGGATCCCAGACCTATTTCTCCTTTTGGCCTTGCAGAGGAGTGGCCGTTGGCTCTAGAGGGCCTGGGGTTGTGGCCTGTGGAGTGTGTGGAGTTCCTGGGTCCCACCCATTGCAGTCTAGGTCAGGAAGGATATGGTGGCCCAGAGGAGGGTGGCTCCATGAGTAGAACTAGATTAGGGCCTGAGGACCTCAGTCAGCCTGGAGCCTGTTCCTGCCTGTGGCAGCCTGGCCGTCACAACATGAACCAGCCTGAGTTGGGGAGTGAGGATTGAGAAAGGAAAGAACCCTCAAGCCTGAGTGGAGACCAAGAGAAGTCTGATTTATTTCACAGAAAAAGCTCCTTTTATAGGCTCACATCAACAGGAAGCACCAAGCAACTATTTGTAGGATTTTCTGACTCTTTACAAAGAACATCAGATCGGTGGCTGTCTCTGTGAGTTTTTCCCATTGCAGGGTCAAAAAACAATTTTAACAAGCAGAGTCCTAGAAAAGTAACAAATGTTACATAGATTGTATCAATGCCTTGAGTGCAGAGGTGAAGAAGTTTCCCTTTAAATGTCAAACACCTAGAGGGCCATGGCCGGGCTCCCACACCTGCCCAGTAGTAGTTCCTGTCACCTCAACCCCCAGTGAGCCCGCAGGGTCCACAGGAGCTCCTGTGCATGGCTATGTCCTTAGCTCTGAGGACATCTCCTAGGGACCTTGGCGCAGTGAACCCATCATGGACCCTAGAGGCCACAGCCAGGATGAAGGAGTTTCAGACAGCCCTGCTGGACCTTTGGGGCCATTCTCTAGGCCACACAGGTGGTCTTGATGGTCATTTGTGGTTGCATGGACCAGAGATGCAGTTCTGGTTTCCCTTCCTGGCTGGGCATCTATGCCTCTGCAGTGTCCCACTTCCTCAGCTGTGAACCAGGGATGACTTCCGAGCCCTCCTCCCCCTTGAGGATTAAAGAGACAAGCAGCTTTGTCTCCATAGTAGTGACTTGGCCACTCTTGACCAGCATGCTGACTTGGGTTGGAGACTCAGTGCTGGCAAACCACATCTCTTGGCAAAGAGCCCCAGCTGTCTTCTTAATTAAGTTTATTGCTACATTTTAGGTATACAGTAAAGTTACATTCATTGTTGGGATCTCATACCTTTATATGACAGGTCTTGGTTCTCATTTTTCTTAATGGGTGGAAGACACTTCCTGCTTGAGGGAGGTTGGAAGACAGTGTCCCACAGTGCCACATAGGTACTGCCACGCAAGCTACATGCTGAGGTTCCTGAGCTTCCCAGGCATCTGTGGTCATAGCTGGGCAGATAGAATGAGGTCACAGGGCAGCTGTTTGCTGCTGACAGCATTCTGGGCACTAGCCCTCCAGAGGACCTGGGGTCCTAAACCTGGCATGCTGCTAGCACTGTCTTTTAGCTCTCTGACCCTGGACATGTCACAGGCTTCTCACAACTATAGTCTCCTGGTCCTTAAGAGGGCAATTCTTGCTTGCTAGTGTCTTCTGTGGATGTGGCCACCATTGTTGCAGGCCCTTCGTGCAGCAGGGACCAGAGCACACATAGCCCTGATCAGAATTCGGATGAATCTGGGCATGGTTGCACACACCTGTCTCAACCCTGGGTAGACTGAGTCAAGAGCATTGCTGTGAGTCTGAGGCCAGCCTGGAATACATGGCAAGGCTGTGTATCAACCCCCCCCCCCAACATCTGTGGAGAGCTGTATCTCTTGAGGGTGGCTGTACCCTACCACTGGAGGGAATAGTGCTTTCTTAACAGTTCAACCTCTGCCCTCCTGCTTTTTCTTCAGGTACCACCACCACTTCGGCCCCTGTCAACCCCTTCCAGGTGAACCAGCCCCAGCCATTGACGCTGAACCAGCTCAGGGGAAGTCCAGTCCTGGGCAGCAGCACATCCTTTGGGCCTAGCACGGGGATGGAGCCCATGGCTGTGGCCCCCATGACATCAGCAGCCCCACATCCAGCTCTGGGGGCCAGTGGCTCCACTTTGACCCCCCTGGGCCCCACAACGATGAACATGGTGAGCAGCGTGGGCATGCCTCCATCAGCAGCACAGGCCACCAGCACAACCAACCCTTTCCTTCTGTAGTGCCCTGGGCCTAGGACCCACCCAGAGCAAATGCACGGAGCACCCGTGCCAGAGGACACTGAGCAAGGACTCTGAGGGTATGATGTGGGGTGTGAGGGCCTTCAGTTCCAGCTTCCTGGTAAAAGGAATGCCCTTTATAGCCCAAACCCTCAGACTTGAATGGCATGTGAGGTGTCCTCTCTGAGACGGCCGCTTGCCTCTCCCCAGCCTGACCAGGCTCCTCTGAGGCCTTGGATGCTGAAGTGAAGTTGTCAGTGTTGTCCTCATCCCAGCCTCATCCCAAGGGTCCTCAAATGCTGCCCAGCCCAGAACTTGGGACAGTTGCCTTGTCTCTATCCCCCCTGACCCAGCCACAGTCCTGGGTAAGGATGGGATGAAGCTCCAGCCCCATTCGACACTGACTTTTGGAGAAGTGGTTGTGCATATTTTATTTTCCTTTGACTCTTGTGTGAGTTCAAAGTAAACACTACCACCATGGACAACTTTTGAATTAAATTCACTAGAGCAAGCTTTAAAACTAATCTGAGCATAACCTTGCCATGTGGCTCTATGCTTGTACACGTTTGCACATATTTTGTTTAGTACAGTTTCATATTTGAGTTTGCAGAATTATCTAATAGTCTTTTTTGGCTAATATTTTTATAACGTGGTTCTTTATTTAACTGTCTAGTTTTGATAGAATTTACCAGGTCTGGCTGAGTTAAGATCTTGGCACATGTCATTTTAGTGGTTTAAGTTCTCTTTATTTATGGTTTTAACTCTAAGAAAACTTACAAAGGAAGAGATGTTTGGATGACAAAAACATGCCTTATGGGAAACCTAAAGCAAATTCTTTATAGGAATTTGATTACATAAAAAGATGTTTATTTAAGGGGAGGAAAAAAACCCACAAACTCCACCAGTAACGGAAACTTGTAGCCTCCAGTTGCCTTTCCTTTCCTTTCTCTGTCTCCCTTTTTGGTTAATTACAAACCAATCAACTCTCAGCTCTTTCAGCTAGATCATGAAAGAGGCTTTATTTCTTACCAGTATACCAACATCTTGGAAGTTAAAGGAAAAAAAATTAATGTATGAATGTGACTCACTGGTTTTATCAACTAATTCCTTTTTTAATTAAAGACACACAGGGATTAATAGGGACTTCTGTTTACAGTGTGTCAGAAGTGGAGGGAACACCTTAGCCTTTCCTCTATGCTCTCCTCTATCTCAGTCCTTACTCAGGTTATGGTTGGAAACAGCAGTCGTCCTGGGTAGGAAGGGCTGCTGTGCTCATGGGTCCCTGGGGGACAGACCAGCCCCAGACACAGGTTACAGAAGATGAAAACATTCATTGTCACCTGGGATAGAGTTTTAACAAACATGCACTACTATTATCTCCCTCTTCCAACCTCATCCTGTCATCATTCTACTCACCACTGTGAAAAAAGTATTAAGTCTCAAATTATAGACCAGAGAAGATTTATTTTTCCCCAGGGAAGGGACAGCCCTCATGAGTCCTACTGTACGTTCCAGCAATCTAGTGGGTGTTTCTGACTTGCTTTGCAACACAGACTTCTCACCTGCAGCTCCAAGGGCAGCTAACCACCTACCTGCCCCTCTCTGGTTCCAGAAAGAGACTTGACTCTTAGCCACCAGCCCAGGAGAAATTGCAGTGGTCCCTGGGCTACAGGAGGCCATGATGGCTTTGAGTGAGGACTGCTCTGAGTCCTTTGTGAGACCCTCCCTGCCTTGCTCCAGGCCTGAGTTCCCAACCAGCCACCCTTTCTGGAACTGCAGGCCTGTGGCCGGCCTTAGACTCCAGTGTCATTCAGGAAGGCTAGTAGAGGGTGAAAGGCACTGTGGTTGTGGAGGAGGGCACCTGCCCAAGATAGTGATTTCCTTCCAGTGGTGTGGAGCCTGGAAGCCCACAGGTCAGCACACCAGACTCGGCTCCTAGGGTCTGTGATTCTTTTGTAATAGAAAAAAGCCCCTTCCTGACATGACTGAGGCCCCCAGCACAACCATCACTGTGCCACCAGGGCCCAAGAAGATAGCCCCTCGCCCCGCCTCCTAGCACAGGCCATTCTGAGCGCATGTTGTTCCTGTTGCCCACTGCACTGATCATGAAGCCACACCGGCTGCTGCCACACATGTTGCACACGTGCCACCATTCCCCCTGATGAGCACCATGGTGGAGGAAGTCACCCAGGGGCCGGTGGCTGGTTTTGAACTTGGGTTGACTGTTGATACTTATTTACTGTATAAATATAATTTATCATTTGTATCATGATTCAGTTTCTGGCTGTGTCCTTCCCCCACTGTCTTTACCCGTCTTGAGCCACAGGAGAGGACTGGGCAGGCTAGGGAGCCGGTTTCTGCCCAGGATCAGGTTGGCTTGTTAGTCAGGCCACCACTTGATCTTGGTGGCCATGAACCCTTCCTTAGGAGATGGTAGACTTGCCCTTGGTGGGGCACTGTCACAGGCGGTTGGAAGGGTATGCTGGGTGTCTCAAGTTCCCTTCTAGCATTCATCCCCTTGTGACCTCATGATGGAGCCTGCTTTGAAAGGAGTGGCAGTGAGTGTGCCAGCTCCAAGGCTGGGCCTCAGGTCTCCCATGTTCTGTACTTAATGTCCATGCCATAGAAGAGCTGTTCCAGAAGAAGCTGCACCCTGTCATCTTATGAGCTGGGTCCAACTTCCTTTCTTCCCAAGGGAACAAGAAATGGACCTACTTTCCACATTGCCGGGCACTATCACAGCTGGCCTTTAGGTCATCAAGTCATTCATTCCACACATGGATCAGAAGGTCCCATCAGTCTCTGCTTCCTGCTCAAAGCCCAGGGTCTCCATGGAGCATGGGGGGATGCAGGTCCTGCCAGAGGTGGTCACCATACCCTCTTCTGACAAGAAGGAGACATTGCATCAGGAGTGATTTTCACAGGTGAGACTCCACTCAATGGAAGAGTGAACTGGGAAATACGGGCAACCATTGGTCCATAGCAGAACCAGACCTCTGAGGTGGCCCTGTGTGAAAGGCGGGAAGAACCTGAGGAAGCTGATTGTAGTGGGGAGAGTGCTGACATTTCCACAATGGACCCAGGCTCTGGTCGCTAGGGGAGGCCTATTCTGGGAGGCCTATCTTGTATCCCCTTGGCTACTTCCAAGGTGGATGTTAGAGCTCAATGGGGATGGGGAGGCAGTGCTCAGCTTCTGCCTGCTCCCTGCACATGTCGTTCCTGGCCAAGACCTCTTGAAGTCCAAGGCACTGGTCCAGGTCCACAGGCCCTGTGAAAGCATGTGCCCTCTAAACCCTGACAGTCTTTTGAGCTGTTCACTTCCCAATAGTTTGAAGTACAAATGGTTTTGGTTAGAGAGTTACTTTGGTGCCGCCCTACCACCACCACAACCCTGTCTCCTAGTATGGTACTGTCCGTACTGCTGGGCTGATGGGACTTCAGCAGGCACAGTGCAGGAAGGGGCAATAGTAATAGATAATGCACACATGAAGTTCATTCATCCTCAGACAAGAGCTGTGCTATCCTTGTGGTCTGTCCAAGATTCTCTTCAGGTTAATGGTGATTATTGTGACATCTGGATCACCATGGGAGGCCAACCCTTCACCCAGCATTTACCAAAAAATTGAGTTCCTGTGTTTAAATGAGAAAGTTTTATTAGGTCTTTATTATCCAAAGCAGTTTCAATCATCTGCATCAATTCTAGAAAGTCTCCTTTTTCCGTCTTTTTTGGCAGTGCTTTTTCACCTTGTGCATGCTAGGCAAGCACCCTGAGTTGCATAAATTTTATTTTGAGATAGGGTCGTGCTCAGTTTTCGAGACCGGTCTTGAACTTGCAATCCTCCTGCTTCAGCCTCCCTAGTAGCTGGGGTTACAGATGTATGCCACTGCTCCTGGCTTTCCTTTTTCATTCTTCTGATACCAACATTTTTTAGATTTATTTTGTTCCCTCCCATTTCTTCTTGCAAACTGGCAAGCTCTTTCCTGAGTTCATCTCTACTGTGACAGCACAACAGTAGCCAACCTTCACTGCAAATTCTGTGTCTCCCTCTAAAGCCATTGGCTCAGCAGCCACATAACCCACCTTAAAATCATCCTGGAGGGGCACGAGGAGCCTCAATCCCAACTGGTTTGCGCATTTGTAAAAACAGCATATGGCTGAGGATGTAGCTCAACGGAATACTTACCTAGCATGTGTGAAGCCTTGGGCTCTATCCTCAGTACCAATACAAATAACAAAAACAGGACCAGGGATTTAGCTCAGTGGTGCCACCGCCTGCCTCACAAGCACAAGGACCTGAGTTCGATCGCTGGTACCAAAAAAACTAAAAACAAAGACAAGTCCAACCAACCAAATTAAAACCACACACAGTACAGTTAAGATCTGTGCATCTCATTGGCTCTAAATGTCCCCTCAAAGAACAACAACAACAAAAACACCTGGATGTACAACTGGGTGTAGTGGTATACACCTCTGATCCCAGCATTTGAGAGGCTGAGAGGAGGATCACAAGTTTCAGGCCAAGCCTGGTCAACTGAGTGAGACCCTGTCTCAAAAAGGTCTAGAGAGGGCCGGGGATTTAGCTTGGATTCTGCCACCTGCCTTGTAAGTGCAAAGTCCTGAGTTCAATCCCCAGTAACCAAAAAACAAAACAAAACAAGTCTAGAGATGTGGCTCAGCACTCCCTAGGTTCACTTCCTAGTACACAGACAAAGCTAGATGATAGACAAAAGATCTTCAAGAGGCCAAGAAGTGGAGGTCCTCAGGGATTCCTGCCTGTAGTTGCTTCCTGAGGCCATTCTGGTAGTGGAAGGGCACTTTGTGACATCTGTGAGAAGCAAGAGGCCTCTGCATTTCTGAGTGAGGAACCTCAGGAAGGAATCAGAAAAGTGGCATCTCTCTGGGGTGTGAGTTGTAGCACCAGGTGGGAGTGCTTCAAGGAGGGGTGGAAAGGGTCCCGGAGGGCTGAAGAGACAGGTGTGGAGAGTCTTCTCAGAGACTGAGAATTACAGCTGGGCTCTGGGCAGATTGAAGGCCTCTGAGTGCAGCAGGGATGGAAGGTAGGCCAGCCAGCATTCTCCAATCTTGGGCAGGTGGAGCAGCAGGTGGGGAGTTTCCAGCAGGATGAGGTTTGGACAAGTGGTATATTGGACAGGAGGGTTCCATGGGCTTATAGATGAGTGCATGTAATGACAACCACCAGTGCTGAAAGATGGAGGCTAGAAAGGGAAGAGTTGATTGGCAAAAGAGGGGAGGCTGGTTGGTGGCTTGGTCTTGGGTGGACAGTTGGACTGGGTGCCCCAGAGGACCTATGAGAAAGTGGTCTGGGAGAGGGATGCTTAGATCTAAGATGGTGCAGTAGCTGATAACAAGCAGCTCTGACCCTGGAAATGAGCGGCTGCAAGGTTGAGATAAAGGTCAATCCAAGCAGAGATTGGGCTGCAGTGCCACCAAGAATATCTGCTGGAGAGGGCTGGGATGTAGCTCAGTGATGCTGCTGCCTGCCTTGCAAGCACAAGGTCCTGAGTTTGATCCCTGTACCCCCCCACCAAAAAAAACCCGAGAAAAGGCAATGTAGGCATATTGTTGTTGACACAGACGGTGGCCAGTGTGGTTTGATGGCTGGGCCTGCTGGAAGCTAGGAAGAAATGGTCTGGAAATGATGAGGGGCATGGACACACCCCATTTCTGGGCCCATGGTACATGAGAATGAGAGGAAAGAAGTGCTACTCAAGAGTGGTATAGGGAATGGGGCAGCCTCAGAGATGGTTAGAATTGTAGTATTTTTGCTGAGGCCAGACCAGGAGTTCCAGAACACACAGTGACGGGCAAGGGATGGGGGTGCCCTGAGAGATAAGAGAACATAAGAGGGTCTGTTCAGATGGTTGCTTAGGGCAAGCTCCAGTGATAGGCCAGACCTGCAGTGGTTTGTAGCCTGGCATTCTGCTGTACTGAGGGAAGCTCTGTGGCAGTCTGGGGGCTCTGTAGTGTTCACCTGAGACTGTAGAAGGGGAAGCTGCAGGGCATGACTCGCCAGGGTGTGTGTGCATGCAGGCAAGGGGACTTCATCTCAGGCCTTCCTGTTGGAACACTACAGGGACCTGTGTGCAAGTGGCCCAGGATCCTCACAGATGCCAAGGTGTTGCGCCACAGGGCTTGTCCAGTCTCCCATCTTGGCCAGCCACCTGAGTTTTGGGGGCTCCCGCAGCCTCTACCCAGCATAGTGCTCCACAGGGCTGGAGATGAGGCAGGGTCTTGGAGGCCTGCTCCCACGTGGGGATGGGGGTGGCACAGGGAATAGAAAGCAGCCCCATCTGGTTCTCTGAAAAGTGACTTTATTATATGAAACTATTTTGTTGTGCCCAAACCCCCAACAGCACCAGGCTGCACTTAAGGCTGATGCGTCAGTGGCTGACTCCAGAAAGACATCCTTGAGTAACAGGAGGCTACTTGGCTGCCTGGCCAGACTCACGTTCTTCACCTGGGGATGCCCTGGGGCAGGCTGGGCCCTGGGATGCCATGTATGTCTGCAGGCCCAGTGTCGTAGCCCAGCTTCCTCATGTCCTTGGTCACCACGTTGAAAAGGAGGGTAACAAAGCCCTGAGAGTGGACTCGGGTCACTGGGGACAGAGGGTAGCATTAGCCAACTGTGCTGGGGTAGACCCAGGGTGCTCTGGGCATCTCTCAGTACTCTGTTGTGAAATGGGATGATGGTACTTTGCCCATGTGCCCCAGTGGGAGGTCAAGAGGCAACATACAGTGGGCCACACAGACATGACAAACCCTCTGCTCCAACTAGGTACACATCTGCAAGGTGCTCTGAAAAAATTCTCGGGCCATCTGTAGTACCAGATCCCAGATGCCTGGCAGTTGCTTGGCCTTCACCATCACCTACTTCCTGGGGTCCTGGGTGCTAGGGCCTACCGAGTCCCTCTCCAGGCTCCAACTTGCCTCTGAGCTGGGGTCAGGGAGGGGCAGCATGCTTTACCTTCCCGGCCTTCGCCCTGCGCCACCACCTTTGGGTCTGTGTACTCCGGCCGTCGTCCCATGAACCAGCTGGGGACACAGGAGAACATGCATGAGCAGGGTCCCACTTGGGGATTCCTGGCATCAAACACTGGACATGGCCCTCTGGTAGCCAAGGCAATACGATGTACTTCCTGTGCCCTGAGGATAGGCACCATCACTGCAATGGGCTCCATGTGCTGCCTCCCATAGGGACTACAGGACTGTAGACCATAGTGAGGGAGGGGTGTTCACTGACTCTCAATGGATGGGCAGAGGCACCATCTCTATGAGCCTCAGTTTCCCCATCCTAGAGCAAGGCTCTAACAGCACCCATCTTGCAGGTGGCTGTGAGGACGGAGGCCCAGGGTACATCCCCTACTGTGGGGGCAGATCCCATCCCACCATCTTTGCTGGGTCTGCATGCAGAGTGGTTTGCTCATTGGGCTGAGAAGACAGTTGTTCCGGGGAGAATGTTCCAGGTAAGGGCCCAGTGGGCTGAGAATCAAGGCAGGTAAGGAGCAGGCAGATGGGAAGCAAGCAGGGCAGAAGCCACAGAGCCAGCAGAGCACTGTAGTAATCTGGCTAAAGTTAACTCTAAACACAAAGGAATGTGCCTGGGTCTTGGAGCATATACCATCTTACTTGCCAGGTGAAGACTAGGTTGGAGGGCTGTAGCAGGCTAACAGCCCTGGAAGAAATCAGGTGCTTGTTCCTGGAAACTGAATGTAACCTTAAATTCAGGATTTTACAAGGTGGAAGTTACCCTAGATTATCCTTGATCATCTGGGGTAACCTAGTGATACTATCTGAGACAGTCCTAATGTAATCACTGTCCTCACGGAAGGATGCAGAGGGAGACATGCACATGGAGGAGGCATGCGACCAAGGAGAGGTCCACCCATAAGCCAGGGAAAGTGGGCAGCCACAGGAAGTGAAAGAGGCAGGAGCAGCATCTTCCTCTGAGCCTCCTGAGGGAACACAATCCTGCCAGCATCCCGCATTTTGCACAGTGGTACAGGTTTTGGACTTCTGGACACCAAGTTTGTGATATCACATGCTGTCTTCACTGATCAGACTTCTCCCTGGTCCTATAATCCAAGAACACATGGCTTTGCCAATTTGGGAACCTGTGTAAAGGGCTAGAGATGTCCAGACACTGAGCTGCCACCCCTAGGTCCAGGCTAGAAGCCTGCTTGTATGTCCTCCATCTTTCAGCACAAAGCCCTTTTCTCAGGGACCTCTCACTGCTAGGCCCAAACTCTTCCTCTGGGGCGTGAGATGTAAAGCCTTCACCAGGAAGGAAAATACTATGGGGCAGGATGGACACGTGGGCTCTTGAAGCCCATCCCCTTCCCTAAGCCCACAGACGTGATCTGACCACTGCTTCCCACACAGCTCCAGGGATGGACACTCACTTCTAGGGGACAATGGCCTGGGGCATCTGGCTAAGCCCTTTCCCAATTTGTGGCCTCCCAGAGGGGCCTGTAGGGCCCATGGGCACCCACATGGTTGGGATGATGCCAGCGGAGAATGCTGTCCTTCCCTTCTGCAAGTCTCAGATTTCAGTGTGGCTTCTTGGGTTATCTGTCCCTCCACCCAGCAGGGTTCTAACCAAGTGTCACTCCCTGATACTGACCAGGTTTGCAGGCGGCCGTGGTGGCTGTAGTCAGTCAGCTGAGGCCTACTGGCCCTCCGAGCTCCTACTTGGGAGTCATAACATGTAAGAGGGCTTCCTGCTGGCAGCCTGCTCCAAGCAACTATCCTCTGAACCCTCTCATAGGTCCTGTAGGCTGGCCCAGGCCTGTCTCCCTGGTCTCCCTACTCCCTACCCCACCCCAGTCTCCTAGTTTATCACTTACTGGCCACAGTGACATGCTGATTACTTCTAAAATGCTAAACTCATGTTCTTCTCAGGACTAAGGAATCCCAGTGACTCCATGCAGCTCCAATCCCAGGCCCCACTTCCATTTGTCCCCATGAGGTAGAACAGTCTGAAGGCCTGGTAAGGTTTCCAAGCACACCGTGAGGGCCAAAATTTGACAGCCACTCATCAAGTAGATAAGGAGCTGCCGGAGGCTTCAGATAGAACTCTCACCTTGTGAACTTCTGTAGTTTAGACGTAGACTCTGGCACAAACATGGGGATGGTCCTTTTGTGCCTACAACAAATATTTACACACAAAAAATGTGCTCAGTAGTAGGAAACTGATGTGCTTTCAAAGCCTCTGGCAGAGTGTGCTGGGACCCACATGGAGCAAGTGTGTGGCTGCAGCTTACAGAGGGTAGAGTCTAAGAGAGTTTTTTTCTCAGGGTGCACTCTCTAACCTCCCCATCTGAGGTCTGGGTCTCTTCCCAGATCTGGGCCACACCCACCATATTCCAGGTTGAGCTGCCTAGGCCCTGAGGACTCCAAGGCATTCCCAGCCTGAGCCCAAGATGCACTGCCAAGTGATAGTGCCCAGTCTCCAGGACAGCATGGCCCAGAAAGGCACAACTTACCTGCCAGGTGAAAAGGGCACGTGCACTGCCCCATATCCTCGGACCACGTCATTCCCAAACACGTCTGGTCCATACACACTGAGCACGATCTGTGGCCCTTGGAAAGGACAAGGCTGGGGTCAGCATGTGTGGAAGCCGTGAAGGGTTCTGTCAGAGAACAGGATATCCAGCCAAGTCCCAGGACAGCACTCAAGGCATGGAGGCACATGGAAGCCCTGAGTACTGAGAAGGTTCCTTCCCATCCTGCTAATTCCTGTGGCACTACTGCTGTGCAGGCAGGCACTCCCTACAGTTCATAGCAGGGGAGAAAGCCAAAGTGTTGTTTTGTCATTTGATGGGCACAGAAAGCACCTCTGGAGCCCTATGTCAGACACTGGCCCCTGTGGTGTCAGATCTGACAAGGGCCTGCTACCTGCTCTCTGGTAGTTTCTCTAACGGAAGTGGTCACCCTCAGGTACGCAAAGCACAGCTCATGGGACCGGGGAGGAGGGGTCTTAGAGAAGCCAGAGAGAGAATAAGGCATTCCAGGTATTTCGCTTTGAAATATTAATAGGTACATCCATTTCCTGTCAACACCAAGGTCCTTAACTGGGTGCCTTCACCTCATTAGTTTCTATGTCCTCTATGTGTGGGGAGATCACAGCCCCAGGAGGGGCTGGGAACCAGCTTGCCAGCCAGGCTCCTATCCTGCAGCCCTTACCGAATGACCTCATAAATTATGTAATCTCTCTGCATCTCAGCCTCCTCACCTCTGAAGCCATTACAATAGTGCCTCTGCCTAGTTTTAATAGCTGAGTATTTTCATCATCATTCAATTCAAAATATTTCCTAATTTCATTATTATTTCTTCTTCTCCATATGGGCTATTTTAAGATGTGATTTTCTTATTTTTTAAACAGATGGGGATTTTTTTCACCATCCTTTTGTCATTGGCTTCTAGCTTTAATTTCATTATAGTAAAAAAAGTAAGTTCCCAGAAGCCAGGAGTGGTGGCACATAGCCATAATTCTAGACCGCAGGAGAACGAGGCTGGAGGACTGCTGCAGGTTCTAGGTCAGCCTGGGCTATACCGTGAATTCAAGGCTTGCCCATCTCAAAAATAAAAGGTCCCAGATGATGAGTAGTGGTGCTCTGAATGTAGCCAGTGGTGTGGGATGAGGGACAGGCTTGATTTGGGGATGCCGCAGGAGAGCTCTGGCCCCCCACGGTGCAGGGTGCAAACTCACAGCCGAAGGGGTTGGTGCTCTTAAAGGTGACATCGATGGGAAAGTTCCACACCAGGGCTCGCCGCACGTCTTGGCTCTTGGAAGTGATCTGTGAGATTCCCTCCTCCAGACCCTGTGGGACAATGACAGTGATGGCTGGTCTGAGTTCCAGGTGGCCACACCCTCTCCCTTTACCTTGGACAGGTAGTTGGGAGGGCTTTTTCCTCAACTATTTTCTACCAAGACCTACACTGTAAAACAAAAAGATCTAAGAGATGACAGCACCTCTCAGGTGCTGAAAAGTTAATGCGTTATCTCACCAAGGTGTGACAGGAGCTCCTTCCTTTCACTCCCAGAAGGTCCATAGATCTGCCCCAGGATTCCCTGTATGTTTTCAGCCCTCTTCCCCTCACCCTGTTCACTGGACATCCTGCCTCCCTGCTGCTCCTCAAACATGCCAGGCATCCCAGTGCCTCAGGCCCTTTACACTCTCTGCTCCGTTTCCCCAGAAAGTCTTCCCCACAGATTTCAACATGGCTTATTCCCTCCCTGCCTTCAGATCTTTACCTAGAAGCAGCCTTCTCAGTGGGTCCTTCCAGGATCCAGCCTCCCTCATAGCTCTTGCTTGCTAACTTCATTCTCCCTCCAGGACTTACTATTAGCTAACAGAATATGTACTAATTATCCATCTCCACCAAGGATGTGTACTCTCAGAAGACGAGGATTTTTGTCTGGTTTTGGTCACCATGGTTATCTTCAATATCCAGAAGACTAAATTACAGTTATTCAATGAATGGCTGATGGAAAATAAGTATTATTTGAACAAATGAAACTGAGGCTCAGAAAGGTCATACAAGTTGGGCCCTCACTTCCTAAACTGTTGTAAAGACTAAACAAGTGCTTTGCAAACAGTAAAGCATGACACCAGCTGAGGTCTTCACCTCCACCTCTCTCCAGGTGGAGGCCTTGGACTGAGAGCCCTGAACTACCCTGATCCTCTGGAGCTCGCCAACACCTCTGGGGAGGGGACTGGCCCAAGGCATCTATAGCTCAGCCACTTTCTGGCTGGCTTTCTGAGACCTGCCCACACATCCCTGTAGGCTGCCATGTGCCAGGTCACAGGAATGGCTATGTGAGGGAGTGAAGACTGGAGCACATATCAGGGACCCCACTGGTGGCTGTGTTCTCTGTACCAGCTTCATCAGGAACAATCTCATGTTTGGGTCCCCTTTGAACTCAAGTGTCTACCTCTCAGTTGGTCTGGAACGGAGGGGAAGGTTGTGAGAGTCACCTTTAGAAACCTTGATAGTCAAAAGGCCAGAAGTAAAGTAGACCCAAGAGCCCAGCTTACCGCCGTGGGGGCCCAGTCCTGGCCATACACAAAGCAGTACTTGCAGTAGAGGTCATCATACTCTGGAAACTGCAGAGAAAGCATACAGGAATTCTGTTTCTGGGGACTCAAGTTGAGACTCACATATTGGCTAGACAGGAGCAGCTGACAGGGATTTTTGAACAGGAGGCCCCTGGGAACCTAGAAATGGAGTTCAGCAGAGGCTGGGGCCTGAGATGGGGGCGTCTGTGGGAGAGACCCAATTGCTACTGCTCTCTGCTCAGGCTCTGCCTTTTTTTTTTTTTTAAACTTTTTTGAGACAAGGCCTTGCTATGTAGTTCAGGTTGGCCTTGAACTCCTGAACTCACTATGTAGCCCAGGCTGGCCTCAAACGTATGGTGATCCTCTTGCTGGGATTACAGGATTGCGCCACCATGCCTGGCTTCTGCCTTCTGTCTATACACCCTTCCCATCTTCGTACCATCTCATCCTTCAAAACACCCCCTTCAGAGAGCCTGCTGTGACTCCCAGGCTGGTGTTAAGGGTCACCTCTTGGCCCCCTCAGCCTCTGCTTTCCTTTATCAAGGCACTGAATACCTGTGTCTATGTCTGTCGTCCACATTAGACTGTGAGGAAGAAACAGGTTTTATGGTTTTCTGTGTCCCTAGTGTCTGCCACAAGGATGAGCACAGATGAGATCTAAGGGACCAGTGCTGATGTGAAAGGTCAGAGAACTCAGAGAGCCATAAGAACACAGCATATGGCATGGTAGAGCTGAGGGCTGGAGGACAGGGAATGGTCGGTCTAGAGCAGAAGGAAGAGCACTGGGGGAAGGGAGGTGCTGAAAGCACTCAGTCCAGCTGGAAGACCATCATCCGGCAGAACGGGAAGAGGAGGATGGTCTTGGGTACTAGGCCAAGGTGGAGGTAAACGGGTGGGCGCTTACAGCAGTTCCTGATGAATGAGGAAGGCAGCAGACTGTGACTGAACCTTAGGCCTGGGAGAGCTGTGCTTAGATCATCTTCATCAAATCTCACACTGATACGAGAATAATGAGGGTCACTTCCAACAAACAGCCTGAAAGGGCAGTGTAGCAAAGTGATGCCCGTCAGACAGACTTGGTCTCAAATTCCAGCTTCACCATATCCTTTGGGCAAGTTTCCCCAGCCATAGGCAGAGGGACCTTAGCACCATCTGCCTTGAAAAGTTGCTATGAGGACTGAAAGAGCAGGGCAGAACGCTTTGTCTTACACATAGTGAGCACCTGCTGGAGACTGGGTTTTATTTATAATAAATGGTCCTTGTAAGACCAGACAGACAGTCTTTACAGGTACATTCTCCCCGAAAACAGTCAAGGCCTTCAACATCGTTGGATCTGACTGACCAAAATATCCTGACTCTAATACAAGTTCAAGGATGGGGATTTGGCGAGTGGGGCACCGACTGCGCGCAGTGCAGACGCCCTAGACAGTCGTTTAAGGACGCGGCCCCGTGTGTCCGCTGAGCCTCCGCTCCTCCAGTTACTCGCTGGAGGCTCCTGCCAGTGACTCAAGCAAGTGGATATGATCTGAGCCCAGGTCCACAGGCTTGGCCAAGTGTGAAGTCGGTACCAGCTGAACCTCTCGAGGTGGGTTTCCTCAACTGCATATTGAGGCTTAGGATCCCCAGCAAGCTGGCACCATGCCCCTCAGCGCCGTTCTCCCTCGACGAGAAGCTGGGAGCAACGACAAGGCCCTCTATAAGCCACGAAGCAGCCCTCGGGGTTGCGGGAAGGGCCCTGGAGACCGGGAGACGGGCCCCGGGGGAGTCCGCGGCTGCTCACCTGGGCGCTCTCCACTTGCCCATTGACCATGAGCAGGAAGACACTGGGATTCGCCGCGGCCATGGCAGAGGCGCCGGAGGCCCACCCCGGCCGCTCGCGTGGTTGCTAAGAGGCACCGGGGTCGCTTTGGAAACAGACGGCGTGGCGCACTGGACACATTTCTTATCTGGCCTTCCGCGAAGGCGTGGGCCACTGTGACGGCACGCATGCGTGGTTAGAGGCTGCTGTCAGGGCGGGACTCTGTGGGGGTGGGGCCAGATGGACGGGGCTCCTCTCGCTCATTCCTCTGTTAGGAATATGAGGACCGTCCTCCCACCTCGCAGAACCCGGCCGCATCCGATTACTCCCGCACGAAATGTGTGCGCAGTGTGTCTCAGAACTACTTTGCTTGAAGCGCGATAGCGAGAAAAGATGAGTCGTGGGGGAGAAGTACCTCAGACTCAAACCCGCCTGAAGCCAAGTGTTAAAACACGCTTTCGCCACGAGGTGGCGCTGTGGCCCTGCTGGCAGGACGTAGAGGGAGGCCGGCGGTGTGGCCAGGGCTCCCTGGGTGCGTAGGGGTTAAACTCCTGGCGTTGAGAAGAGGCCTCAGGTTGGGCCAAGCAGCTCCCTGCCTCAGGTTAAGGGTGTGCTTCCGGTGGCTTTTGAGACCCTCACTTCCGAAAATGTTTACTAAACAAAATTGCCTTCTGGCCTCAAGAATCTGTGTATACGTAAGTCACCTCTCCTTGCTGAGGCGCCACACTTGGCACCTAAGCCTGGTCACTGCTACTCCTCTCAGGGCGTTACAGCTTCTGTTAACACGTGCATGGAGCTACTCTTAGAGCTCAACAACGTTTGTGTTTGCCAATTCATTATTATCATAATTCGGCCTGACGTTTGCCTCCCCCGCTACACTGCCAGCTAGAGTCCAGGAGTCGCATCAGTCTTGCATCTTTGTTGCGTGGCACATAGTAAACCCTCAGTGACTACATTTTAAATGAATGAACACTTGAACACATCTTCATTTAAAAAGAAAATTGGCCGGGCGTGGTGGCGCACACCTATAATCCCAGGGCTCGGGAGGCTGAGGCAGGAGGATCTCTGTGAGTTCGAGACCAGCCTAGGCTACATAGTGAGCTCCAGGTCAATCTCAATACATAGTGAGACCCCCCTGTCTCAAAAAACAAACAAAAAAATTGAACCCAGTGCCTTTACACATCCCCAGCCCTTTTTATTTTTTATTTTGAGACAGGATCTTGCTATGTAACTAAAGTTGACCAGGCTGAGCTCGAACTTGTGCTCTCAGATTACAGGTTTGTGCCCTCAGGCCCTGCTGAACGCAACTGCATTTCACAGGAGAGGATTCAGACAGGGAAGGTGAGTTGGACGCAATCACCGAAGCAGTTCAGTCAGCTGAGTTTGGACTCACACCCAGGACTTCACAAGCTAAAGACCCTCACTACTTCCTCTGCCTTCCCTGGGGTGCCTCTGGGTGGAGGTGTCAAAGGAGACATTAAGACCCCATCTCTAATCCAGGAAATGAAGGGATGTACAGGTATTCAGACTCGGGAGGCTGGGCCTCCACATCATCCACCCTGCAGCAACCAGGCGCCAGCCTGGGAGCAGATAAGGGTGTCCCACAGCCATCTATGCAGGAGAGAGAAGTGGGGTTACGGCTCAGCCTGAACCCACTGCATACCCCACCCAGGTGAGTAAGGGTATCTGTTGGGGAGGGGACTATAGGCAGCCAGTGCTCATGCAACTGATAGGAGACTTGTGGGTCTCATAGGTTGGAGACCCTGAGTGTCAGACACATTACACAGGGGAGGACCTGACTGCCTCCCCAGGACCTTGTTTATACTCCCCTCCTACCCCTCACACT